TGAATATAAATATATATATAATATATATGAATATAAATATATATATAATATATATGAATGTAAATATATATATAATATATATGAATGTAAATATATATATAATATATATGAATATAAATATATATATAATATATATGAATATAAATATATATATAATATATATGAATATAAATATATTTATAATATATATGAATATAAATATATTTATAATATATATGAATATAAATATATATATATAATATATATGAATATAAATATATATATAATATATATGAATATAAATATATATATAATATATATGAATATAAATATATATATAATATATATGAATATAAATATATATATATATATGAATATAATATATATATATATATATATATATATATATATATATATATATATATATATATATATATATATATATTATGTATAACAATATGAGTATTTTGAGCAGTTGTACCAGCTAGACCCACCAACAGCATGGATGCAAGTGGTACCACAATACCTGTGCCAGACCTACCCATCAGCAAGGAACCTCCTACACTAACGTTAGGATGGCAATTTCCAAGCTGAAGTGTGGGAAAGTCACAGGCATATGTGACATCCTTGCTGAACTGCTAAAAGCTGGGGGTGAACCTATGGCAAGATTCACCCCCAGTTCAGTGGCAAGGTTCACTGCTTGTATGTAGACTTGACTGCCATCTAGCACTCTGGTTCCATTCTCTTTGACCTGTTGATGGGCGTGGTCATTCCTCTCTGTAAGGGAAAAGGGAATTGTTGCAACTACCATGACATTACACTGCTTAGTATACCAGGCAAGGTTTTTGCCCACATTATTCTAAGACCACAGTCCGGAGCACGTCTGGATTCATTCCTGGCAAGTCCAGGAATGAATCGTATCCTGGCATTTAGAGTAATTGTGGAATATCATTATGAGTTCAGTTGTGGGTTAATTGCAGCCTTCATTAGCCTTAAGATGTTTGACTCAAGAATCGCTATGAGAGATTCTGAGACTTAAGGGAATTCCAACAAGGTTTATCAAGGTCTCAGACCTTGACTTTGCCCCGCGATGTTACTATCCTGAGTCTCTTCAGTCACTGGTGGCAGCTCACAATGCATTTAGCAATGAGGCAAAGCCCTTGGGCCTAGTGGTCTACTGAACCAAGATTAAGATTCAGGACTTTGGGGCCTGATAGGGGAACACGTTCAGTCGATCCTTGCTTGCAAAGAGATTTGTATACTTTTGTAGCGTAGTCCATAACTCAGGGCTGTCAAACCAAGAAGTCAGTAGATGGATTGGTCTGACAGCTGGAGCCATGAACTCAATCAACAAGAATATTTGGAGATGTCAGTACCTATACAGAAGGACTAAGCTATGAGTCTTCAAGGCCTTGATACTACCCATTTTCCTCTATGGAAGCAAAAACTGAACGCTATCTGGTGTCTAGATGCCTTTTGTAACAAGTCTCTTCATAGGATCATGGAGTACAGTTGGTAGGACCATGTGTCCAACCGACAGCTACATCGTGAGACTGGCATGGAACCTGTTACTTAATCATGGATTGCCAATTCAGGCTATATGGGTACCTAGCTCATTTCCCTGCCCATTGTCTTTCTGTTTGACAATCCTGGGTGGAGGCTCATGGGATGACCTAGGCGGTCATGGCATGGGCAGCTCAACCAGACCTGTCGCAGAGAGATGGGCCAAGGTCCTGCCTGATGACTCACCATGAGGGACCCTCGAGGCTGGAAGCGAAGGGTGGATGCGACCATGCGCCCCCATAGGTATTAGCCCCTTGTGATGATGATGATGATGTCCTTATACAACCCAAACTACAATAAACACAAAAAATAAAGCCACAAACCTGAATATATTGGCGAGCTTGTGCAAAGGACTTGAGGACAAAAGCAGTGAGCCATGTTGAGCCTGATGCATCAGAGAATCCAAAGGCACTGAAGGATCCATCAAAATGTTGATAGTGCAGCTCCTGTTCATAACCTGTAACAGTAGCAAAGAAAGAAGGAATGTAACATGAAAATAGTTTGTCTAGCCATAATAGATATTGCCATTCTTACACATAAAAAGTAAAATTCAAAAAATAACATTCACTTCTGTAAAAATCAAATAACCAAGATATATAGATATTCACATAAAGGACAATCATACCACAGATATACTATCAATCCTAAACATATATAGACAAACTGGTTATCCAGAAGATATTATAAGTATTATTTCCCTGATATGAATGTCTTTTCTAACAACAATGTACAGCATTACAGTCAAAATAGGCCAATCATTAAACAGTTGTACACATATATAGGTGAACATATTTTCATGCAGGTGCCAAATTTTACCTTTTTGCATGTAGTCAATAGCTTTCTTTGCAATTGCTGGTGTTGTTTGATTTGAAGCATCCAGATATTGAAGGATGAAAATATTTGGTGCAAAATTCAACATATTCTGTTCCCCACACCCATATGGCATTTTTACAAGGGAGCCAAGATTCTGAAACAAACATGCATTAAAATTATTTCCTTATCATAAAACATAAATTTATATATATATATATATATATATATATATATATATATATATATATATATATATATATATATATATATTCATATATATATATATATATATATATATATATATATATATATATATATATATATATATATATATACAATATATGTATATATACATACAAACATTTATATATGTATATATACATACAAACATTTATATATGTATATATACATACAAACATTTATATATGTATATATACATACAAACATTTATATATGTATATATACATACAAACATTTATATATGTATATACAGATATATATACATATATATGCATATAAACATAAATATAAATATAAGATATACATATAAACATAAATATATAAATATAATATATACATATAAACATAAATATATACATATGCATACTTATAGACATATATACATATATGCAGATAAAGCCAGGAAAATGCTGTGATCATTTTTTTTTTTTTTTGTGAATGTCTTAGCACATATATGGCTCTACTATTTATGAGCCACAAAGGAGTCAATTTGCAGTCCTTGTGACCTTATCTGATTTCATCTTATCAATATCTATATCAATATATATATATATATATATATATATATATATATATATATATATATATATATATATATATATATATATATGTACATATTTCAATATATATATATAATGTAGTACATATATATCTAATGTAATAAATATATAAAATTTAGAATAATACACACACACACATACACACATGCACATGTACACACATGCACACACACACATATATACATACTTATATATACATACATATATATACATATATATTATGTGCATACATATATTTATATATTATATATATACAAACATATATGAAAGATGGAATAATGCAATGCCACATTGATGAAACCTTGCTATCATTACTCATTTATGAGTAGATAGGTAATGTCTATGGAGCTAGTTAGATCCTAGTTGCACACTCCTTTTAGTAGGTCGCGTGGCATGGTTGGTTTAGTACTGGCCCGACGGTCTCATACCCAGAGTGACCTAGGTTCGAGGCCAGGTCAAGGAGGATTGTTATATATCTATATCAATGCGGCATTGCATTATTCCATCTTTCATATATATTACCTCAGGATATCTGACTTCGGTTTCGAATTTCTAAATCAATTTCCACCGAGTGCCCACGGGGAGTGTGTGTAAACCTCGCTATCATTACTCATGTATGAGTAGATAGGTAATGTCTATGGAGCTAGTTAGATCCTAGTTGCACACTCCTTTTAGTTGGTCGCGTGGCATGGTTGGTTTAGTACTGGCCCGACGGTCTCATACCCGGAGTGACCTAGGTTTGAGGCCAGGTCAGGGAGGATTGTTATATATCTATATCAATGCGGCACTGCATTATTCCATTTTCATATATATACCTCAGGATATCTGACTTCGGTTTCAAATTTCTAAATCAATTTCCACCGAGTGCCCACGGGGAGTGTGTGTAAAACCTCGCTATCATTACTCACGTATGAGTAGATAGGTAATGTCTATGGAGCTAGTTAGATCCTAGTTGCACACTCCTTTTAGTGGGTCGCGTGGCATGGTTGGTTTAGTACTGGCCCTCCGGTCTCATACCCAGAGTGACCTAGGTTCGAGGCCAGGTCAGGGAGGATTGTTATATATCTATATCAATGCGGCATTGCATTATTCCATCTTTCATATATATACCTCAGGATATCTGACTTCGGTTTTGAATTTCTAAATCAATTTCCACCGAGTGCCCACGGGGAGTGTGTGTAAAACCTCGCTATCATTACTCATGTATGAGTAGATAGGTAATGTCTATGGAGCTAGTTAGATCCTAGTTGCACACTCCTCTTAGTGGGTCGCGTGGCCTGGTTGGTTTAGTACTGGCTCTCTGGTCTCATACCCAGAGTGACCTAGGTTCAAGGCCAGGTCAGGGAGGATTGTTATATAAACATATATATAAAAATATATCAGTACGTCAATATATATATATATATATATATATATATATATATATATATATATATATATATATATATATATATATGTATATATATTTATATATATATATATATATATGTATATGTATGTATGTATCTATATAATTATATATATATGTAACTTTGTATCTATATATATTTATATATATACATATATACCTATATCTATCTATCTATCTATATATATATATATATATATTTATATACATATTATATATATACATATATATACATATATATACATATATATACATATATATACATATATATACATATATACACACACACACATACATATATATATATATATATATATATATATATATATATATATATATATATATATATATATATATTTACACATAGGCATACATCTGGAGATGTGTTACTGTGGACCATGACAAGTTTAGTTCACAGTAGGAGCCATGAAACTCAA